ACCGTTGATAGTGAGTACTCCAAAACAAATTATTCGAGGATAAAAAATATCAATAGACGACACCTTACTTAGGTCCCATCATGCTTGATCACTAAAGCGTACATGATTCATTACGGTTTAAGAAGTAAAAAATTTGGAATGCGCATATGCCGAGTCAATGAAGGGATATTTTCTCACAACAAGGGGTGTATATTTGCAAGCGGAAACTTTGGAATACAAACATTAGTTGGTTGTTGTTTGAATATATCTTTTAGCGTCACAGTGCGCCCTTCTGCACATGTTTTGTTGTCAGTGGCTCGCCAATGGTTATTGTGTTATTTGACCATATATGTTATCAGAACTTATTCGCAATAGTGCCATAGCTGGCTCTTCACGCAAAGCTTTTCACATGCCATCTGGAATTGTATTCACGTGATATGACATCATGCAGCAACCATGCCGATTAGATTAAGTGCAACCGACCTGTTAAGTGGAGGTCATTGTCTCTCCTGGTTCACCACACATTTATTTCGGTCGAACAAAATCGTTTGTCAGTAATACTTCATCACCACAAGCTGGCAACTGGCTTTTTGTTTTCAGCTGAAGGCGCTTCTCCCTTTGTTGTTGAATTGACAAATTATGGTACACGCAGGCGTTCCCAATATGTGGTGCGTCGGCACATGCATCCGCAATTAATTAATGTGGTCCCACGGTGCGGTTATCAGCCATTGGCCGAAATGCTCTCTGATCGGTGTAATTGCAACCCATTTTGATGTCAGTCGATTTTAAACATTTGGGATCTATCAGTTGAATCATTTCCAGAGCACGTGTATGATGGCTTGAAATGGTGATCGGACCATATGTATGTGTGTGCTGTTTGGGATTCCGTGTCTGAGGATTACGAAAGCCTAAACCAGGTATTCCCAACCGTAGAGAATTCCCTCTTAAGGGGCGAAATCTAAGGTTTTCGGAGAGACTTGGTGACCACACGTTTTCAGGCTTTATATGGGCCGTGGGTCAGTTTCATATGGTATTTGTCGTCCATATTTATGAATTATGATGAACAGTATTTCTGTGCTGAAAATTGACCAGTTGAGTGAGACCACGTCGAGTGAGAGAATGAACCAGATTCACATAGCAAGTGAAATTCTTTGGGTAACGGAGGTTACTCAGCACCCTTCCTCAGTGTACTTAGAAGACCGTCTGAGTGTTCTTAAACATTTGCACGACAGGTTTCCTCCAAAGTGGTATTTTAACCCCCTCGTACACCCCCTTGGAGACTACCTTAGATGTCGAATGCAGGACAGTTGAAGCATCGAATAACGTAGACTCTGTACATTTACTCCATCTTTACTCCCTGCGATCCTGTATTCGCCAAAGCGGCTGTAGGTAACGTCATGAAGTCTCGTGTTGACTTTCAGGCTACAAAAACTAAGGAGGTAAGATAAAAGATAACCGTTCAGCTGTAACATCCTTTCGATGCGTAGCTGCTGTGTCACCCGAATTAAGCACGAGGGCTGAGCTGTCAAGCCTAGATAGGTGCAGTTGAAGTGCAGAGGTCGGGCTCGAACCACAGACTTTCCGGCCAGTAAGTTTGTGCCTTAAACAATAAGCTATCTGGAGCTCCAAAAATGCGGCTCTAAAAGCGGCAAACCTCAGCCGCTTGTGGTTGCACATTTATTATGTTACCAATAAAGTTCAACCAAATGACGTTTTCGTTAATATGTGCCAGTTCTCAGACCCAGAACTGAATTAATGTGCTCTTGATTCCTTGTCTTTCAGGTACACCAAGGTGCAGGTGATTCTGCACCCAGTCACACATATACCAGTCTTTCACTGGCCTCCAAGACGGACACGAAAGTGCTGTCCGTTAATGGGGACACGGAATCCGGCATCTATAGCAACGATCGAGTGAGCTACGCGACTCTATCTATCAAAGAGGACGCCGATGGCGATCGATCATCTTTTTCCGATAGCCTCAGCTATCTGGATGTTTCATATCGCTCCCACTCTGTAGAAAATTTGCTGTTTGTTACTGAAAAGACGGATTGGAAACAGCCTTTGTCACCATCTGCATCGACTACCATGAACGGATTTTCAAACAGTCTACATACCCATTCCATGGAACACTTATTTCTGAGCAACCAGCAACAGCGGGTATCTTCGTCCGTGTTCAGAGTGGCAGGTGATGGGCCGAACAAGGTCTCAAGGTCATCCCACATCAAAGGACAAAGAACAAATAGTAATAATAATCACCTCGTGACTGATGTTTGTAACAATACGGATACTGTACGGAGCGATGTATCTTGTCACAATAACGTTTATCACAAACGCCCTCGGTTATCGGTGAGGCTTTGAGACAAAACTGCTCTTTAGTATCATTACCAGCAATACTATCTTGAACGCCCAGATTGTCTGTTGTTTGGGCATAGTCAGATCACACTGTGATATGACCACCTTTCAGCCGGACGATCGTCGATCTCTCGAGCAACCTTATCCCATCTGTTGACCATTACGAACCACCAATCTCAGCATGCTTTCACAGTTCCTTCTTCCTCGTAATCACTATCATCGTTTTCTCTCCACTTCTGATTTATCCGTCCAGTTTGATTTTCGCTCGGGGTAGGATGGAGTTGTGCAATGATATAAAATATGATGGCGAGAAGCTCAGAGCCCTGAACTTGTTTTGTTTTGTTTTGTGCCTTTTGGGTCGCTTTAGGTTTCAGTGGGCCACAATAAGTTAACTGCGGGATAGATTGATCGATGCGTTTTCACACTTAATGTCATTTATCTCCGACGGTCGTTTTTCAATATTGAGCATGTGGCTAAGGTTGAAGGTGCACTCTAGTTAGTGCAGGAACACGAACACTTCGTTGCCTGGGAGCAGACAGCAACAGTATCAGAGGCAGTTACATGCATAATCGTTTAGCGCGATAAGGGCTTCATACTGTTTACCTCGTTGAGTTCTTTGTCAGTTTTGAGCCGTATACGGCATGTACGATGGTCCCAGATGCCACAGTTGTGTTCGTCTATTGAGAAAGACATGGAAATCAGAGACTACCAGGGGGTGATATTGAGAAAGACATGGAAATCAGAGACTATCTACCAGGGGGTGGTAGGGAATGTCGTGTGGCGTGATCTAAGCAATGGCAGCAGATTCCCGTCCCACAGTTATTTGCCACTGTAAGTGTGGCTGGAATATGACTTATCCAGGGTGCATAAAATGCACTTTTAGACAAACATAATTGCTCTCGAAATGGCATGCACCGGCTCGTCTGTAGTGAGGCCCACAAGTCGCGAAGACACAGTAACATGTTTTCTGCGTTTGTCTTCCGGCGACTACGAGAACACCGGACTCGGGCGCCTACTTATCTTTGTAGAGATATTCCACTGAAAACGAAGTACCTATGTAGTAATTACTTTCTGTGCATGTTTCAGTTTGAAATGCAGTGTGTGTGAAATTGTTTCACACCAGGTTTTTTTCTTATTTTTTCATCCGATCAATGTGGAATGTTTTTGTCATGACTCAGGTAGGTTTTTAACGATGCTTTTCTTCGGTACCCGTTATTAGGAGCATGATATGAATGTTGGAAAGTAATAGCATTCCAGCTTTTCGTGGGTCTATAAGTTACATTTGTACGGGGGTCAATGTTCCATCAGGGTGCTTTTCGGATGAGACACTAGAGTCTAGCCATATCTGTGTTGGAATGGTGGATTCGTATTCCTCTACAGCATTTCTGGTGAAAGGAAGAAGACCTTAGCTGCGGAGTTATTTATTAGAAAATACCAACTGACCAGTTGCAGACTATGGGATAGGGAAGCAAAACTCTCATTTGCATCTCATTTACAAAAACTGAACATCCATCTTCTCTTGAACGCGTCTTCTTGAACGTTCCTGGACATTCATTGACTCCAATCATTCATTGCTCAAATCTAAGCAAACGCCACAAAGCGACTTAACAAATTCCGCAATAGATCTTCATTTCAAGAGACGCAAAGCGGATTTGCAAGAAGAAAACATACTACTCGCATGCTTCCCCATCATTAGTATTATCGTTACATTGGTGTCCAACGTTCCTCCTTTTGACGAGCCCTCCAGCGCGATCGACGTTCGATCACCATAATGGTTTTCCACGCTCTCCCACAAGGATTGTTCCGAGGTACCATGTTCCTCCAGTCGGAGTCGGGACAAGATTTTTGCCTTGTGTGACTCGTGTTTTTCTGACATCAAGGCTACCAAGACAGTGGCCTAGATATGCTGTGCGTCAACACGACTGGTGCGAAGCAAAATTTGGAGGATCCACATACGGTCTCATGGTCAAACAACGATCGAACTGGCAATGTACGTCAAACTTAACGAGGAATTTCCTTTGATAAATTTCGTAACAAAATTGAAACCAGCCAGACCAGAGGTGATGAAGATCGGCTTTTTGCTCACCACGGATGAAGCCACTACAGAGTGGGCCGGTAGCCAACTCGATAATGTGCGCTCAGAGTATGTTCGTACACACATCGTCTCAGGGGATGCGACTATTTCAGCGCAATTTGTTACCTTTTTGACTTAATCAGATAACGCGGTATTTCAGCATCGTTTAGCAGTTTCATCCATATCTGGTCTTTTGCCATGGTGGAGTGATTACTGAGACCGAGTTCACTTGATTCTGCATGTAACTTGTTTTCTCGGTGATCTAAGTAGAACGCGATACCGCTCATGAACAGTGCCGAACAGCCACCTGATCTAGTCACACCCAACGTTTAAACGACTATCGTTCTAAGTACAGTACTCGCTCTCTATTACGACTCCGAAAATTCCAAACGAATCCTGCCGCCTTAAACCGGTGGGGAGGAAAGAGCCGCCCAACACCGTGATGACCGTGCATAACCAAGCGGTTGTTTTTCTAGAGGGATCGATAATGGAAGGGTCGATGGATGTTTGTTTCACGAGGAGAAAGAGTTACCAATTTCTAGGACATACTGGTATTTCTGCAAGTGATGTACAATGAACAAGTGCTCCAAGGGTTATAAAACACTCACAAGCAAAATATGGCAGTAAAATGGTTGGGTCTCGGCTGGTGCTTCATAATCTACCTGAAATACGATTTCCTTCAAGCTAGTCCGCCTCTCCTATATGGGTGACTTGATGTATGAAGATCCATCCCGCTCAAATAGATCGCGTCCAGTCAAACACAGCCATAGGTGCCGCTCGAACTTCATCGTTTTAGGAGATATGATTATACGTAATTGGTAAATTTCATGACCGATATCAAGAAAAACTCTTTCATAATCCTGCCTCTCATCTAATAATCGTCCGAGCCGTGAAATCTATATGAAATTGGTATCCGGAAATCATAAATTGTACTTCGATCCAAACGTACACGATGCAGTGCAGTGCAAAAGATGTAACCCGCAAACTATCTACTAAGACGCAGCTCTTGTTCAACCAACTTCGAAAACATCAACATTGGTTTACAGTTTTGTGTATCCTTCAAAGAATCACGGAAGCGCACAATCTCTGGATGTTCGTAGTTGAAGCGGTGAGTCAACGGAGGTGTTGATGGAAAAAATATTCCATTTTCCTTGTAGCTTCTCAGAGAACGCGACATTGTATCATAGGTCATTTTCGGGTTGTTCGTCGCCCTACCCCAGAGGGAAGCGACAAACTTTGTACCCTTATCCTCAGTCAATTCAAACAATCCATAGGTTTTATCCTTCCATCGAATATGTGGCTTTGTACTTTCCAGCTCAAGAAGACACATCAAAAACTGCCAAAGAATCGGTTTCCGCCTCCTCACTGTCTGGCCATTGAATTGTCCGTCACGGCCGTTTGATTCACAATCGTTTTCGTCATCTGTGGATTGGTTGTTCTTTACAGCTGGAACGTGAGGTAAACGATGACAAATAAGTGAAGCAGTGCACGAAGCCCACCAAATTCGCCAAAAAAAAAAAAACTAAACGAAAAAGAGGTCCACATACATACAGTTAGAAAGATAGGACATCGAAGTCCAGAGAAAAACTTTTTATACTAGTGCGTTGCCCCGATCCCGAGTGGGGGACAGAATTCATGACATTGTGAAGTTGTTGCTGTAGGCGAGGCGGGCCTTTTTTATCACTCAGTATCTTTTAGTTTGCTTAACCTCACTATCTCACGTTCCTCGCAAGATTTGGGAGTCGAACGTGAATTCTTGCCACCAAGGTTCGTGCGCAGAGAGTGTTGTTCGATTACTAATTGGCGTAAGTGGTCGCTTATTTTATTATAAATATTTTCTCATAAATATTGGTATTTTAGGGGTGAATATCAGTGTCTATATGATGCAGTTTATTGCGCACAATTGTTGAGAAACATTTGCCTAGAAGCTATCTTTCTTTCGTGCTAAGCGGATTGAACCACCCACCTGAAATGGTGTTAAATTTAGCGAAAAACATGTTGCTTCGTGTGCAGATGCGAAATCCAGTAAATGTTCTCGCCAATTCGAGGCTTCTGTGGCTAATCAGAATGCTTCTGATTGTTGGGCACCCCGTCTTGTGAAATTACAATAACCAGTCGTGAATGACCGAACGTCTTACCTCTGCTGGTTCACAAACCCTTACTATATTTCTGAGTCGTGTGACTAGATAAAATAGTAAAAGTTAGAGAACATTGATTTGTTTTGGACGTAAAGAACTACATTGTGGTGGTGAAGTGTACGGTAGCCGCAATACATGTCAGATCCACTATCCCGCACCAGATAATTCAGTGCAACCCTTTTAGGCTGATCAACTTTCCAACCAACCTCGACATAAGGACTCCGTACATTTCGGCTTCATTAACCCAGTATTCTTGCAACTAATATTATTCTGCTTTCACCTGAATTGACCTGGGTGAAATAGAAGAGGGAGAGAACCACTCGGTTCATGATCACCTTTCGCTGCCTGGATTAGAACTGACTGGTAAAATATACGAAATCAGCGCTGCTGTGTGAGTGAAAATCATTTTGCCGAAGACGGGTGAATTAAGGCGATGCAGCATATTGATCAGCTTCGTTTATTTATTGATTGGATCGATACACCACACCCATCAAGCTGTCAGCGTTTATCTGATTTCGTGAGTTATATTAATTAGTGCATCAGACCAAAATGTACCCACTGATCCACCTGACAAACGCAACCTTCTAGAACCCAGGGGAGTTTGTTTCATTTTCTAATGACTACTTGGCGATATTGTCATTCTAAGTATAACAGCATCGATGACCATGTTTTAATGAAATAACACCAGACTACCCACCACCACCTTGAGGGTGTGTTGCCTGATGACTCTCGGGAAAACTTGAACGGGGCTGTGCATACAAGAATGCGGTGTCATGACTTGCGTGCACAACATTGCAAGAACGGATATAAATCTCACTGGATAGAATAACTGGGGGCATAAAAGTGTGTCTGAACACTAACCATCTTGTTTCTGATTCCGTCGACAGCTCGCAAAAACATTGTTTAGCGAGGAGATCTCCACTATCCCTGGTTTTTGGCCTATATTTACACGGAAGATTCCGAATACTTTGACTTTACGTTGGTGACACCTATTGTGATAAAACGTGGTAACATCAGCAACTTCTACAACTATCTCAATAGAATGCTTCCTCACACAAAGTTTAGGACTGACTGAGACAAGGTCAAGTTGAGGGACACTATTTTTTCTTATCTGCAGAACACACGAAAAACGCGGGAAGTCAAAAAAATGCCGCCAACCAGAAATCAACAGACGTGAATACCGTCCTCAACGACTCGTCAGCACATAAAAAACAGTGAAAACTTATAGTGCCTTGGTAGTTTTAATTATGGTTAAAAGCATACATTAAGAGAAGAGGATACCCAGTAGGTTTAACTGGGTGAAAATGAAGTGTTGAATCCGGTATCAAGATCAAGTAAGGAATGAATTGGTACCACAGTCATATTTTTATTAAACAGAGACGTCTGCGCCTATTCAACGGGTGGTGAACGTAGCCAACACCAGAGTTGCGTTCCAGAAGGAAAAAGGTTATGCTCAATAAGATTGCGATTTAGTTATCACCTTCGGGTTAAAAAGATCAGAAAATGTGCACAAAAATGAATCCAACGGCTTCACTAAGGACAAGTGGCCGGAGAGCCACACATCAGAACTGGTGAGCACGAGGAAAGAATAACCAATCCAGTAAGAGATTTTGGATAGTATCAGATGCTGGTCATTAATCAAAGATGGCCTGACATGCGCGAGACACAGGATATTTAATAGATCTTTAGAATGTGGAAGTTTAATGGCTGGGCTAGGATTCACAGTTCCACCGCTGATGGCCGAGGGGCTAAAAGATCACCTGACGTCTCTTCGTGAACAGAATGTGGGACGTAGTACTGCCAAGCGTACAAATACCGGTCTTAGGTAGACCCAGCTACTAGTGACGGTATACAGCCATCAGTTAAGTATAATCATTAGCTGACGTGGCAGAAACTCGACTAAAATCCGCCTAATCCCTCCCCTTGACCCATCTGTTCAAGCTCACTCTGACAAAAACTCGGTGATAATTAACAGGAATCTTCACGGGTCAGTTTATTGTTTGTTGATCGGGTGGCTGCTGATATGTTCACCGAGCTTGGCAATCGACTAGCAAAAGTTTCACGTCCCATAGGGCGTGGCTGATAGAGACATTTCGAGGGACTACCTATTTCTTAGATCTGCTTTCCCCATCCCTGTTCTCGACAGAAACGAAAAAAAGGTGGACAATTTGTGATCTGGAAATGTGGCAGGCCAGTTGTTAGCAGAGAACGTAGTCGAGCTGACAACTGCCGCCCTTCAGACAGAGGCTCCAAGACTCCACTGATCAGTGGTTTACGGAACTGACAAGCGTACAGTCATACAGACACTGGCGCCGTTGCATCAAACTTATCGCTATCAGCCCGCAACTATTCAGTTTTTGGTCCATCCAAACAGCTGGAATGATTTAGCATCATTCAGTTCAGTAAATCACCACCGCCCCCCAACGTTTAAGCATCCTTCCCCGCTCCACTATTTTTCTAGCAACCGGAATCAGTGTACCTCTGACGTAGGTTTTATGGCTGAATAATCGGAGCTAATTGTGTGACTTGTCTAAAATGGTCCCCCAAAAGAGAACGGATAGAGAGAACTTAGGAAGACCACTGTTTCCAATAACACGGTCAACATTTACTCTAAATACTACTTAAAAGGGTGCAAAAACGGGCACTTATGTGAAAGGAATATTAGTTTAGTTGCCTACTATGAGCTACTACCAACTCACACAATCTCAAATCTTGGAATTTTGCAAAGAGATCTTTCCCGGCCTCTGAACCGAATATCTTTTCGAATTTCGCACTGGATTTCCATGTCAAGAACTCCGCCACACAGGAGGTCACATACACACCATCCTGAAGATTAGTTACATCTGAATATCGCCATCGAGCTTTCAATAGCAGTTGCGTGGCTTTCATTTCCATCAATTGGTCGACCAGTGCACAGTTGGAGGACGGCTAATTAATCGATGACAGTTACCGGAGATCAGTAACCTACATACATCCTGTTCACTCCACTTTCTCCGGAACGTTCTCCCACCATATAGCTTAATCTGTGGGCCGTTTAAATGAGACCGCAAAATGAACTTCGTACCGAGCTCCGTGGTTTACGCATGACACTCCGGGGTTGTGTGATCAATAAGACGATAGACAATGTGAAATACGTCAGTCATTACTCCTGTGGTCAGGTTAGTCTTTCGACCCGAAGAAAGTTGTCGCTTGGTGATGTCAATATCCCATTCGCATCAGACAATCGTTCAAACAAAAAAGCATTCCATCACTCAATTCACATGAATTCAGCACCACATTTCCATTATCGAAGGTGCCACACAAGCCGCCAATATATTTCTGTCATTTTGTAAGCTCGCTTTTCAGAATAAATAATGACACCACCCAAGAGTGCCCATATGACGACAACTTTAAATTTCTGCTGGTTCTCACAATTTCCCTACGCATAACTGTGCAAACCACCAGCTTGGTTTCGTCGTTTGCGAACAGGCACGGTTCACCGAATGATGAAGATTCGCTTCAGTCCATCATTGTGGAGACACCTGAAACGTTTGCTTAGCGTGTACATCCTTTGAGGTATAAAACGAATAGGTTTGGCATTTTGCCAAATATGATTGTATGGTCCTGACAACGAGTGTAGAGGAATCTGGATCATCTGAAGAGAATAGAACGGCACCCTACCCATTAATTCTCGGACCCTGTTTTTTCGAACAACTTCAGATGCACATATGCAGATTATGTGGTCTTCGCAAACCACCAATGGTTTCCGTGCATCGCTGATACTCAAGATCTTCTCAAGGTTTTCAAGTTACCATTGCGGCACAAAAAATTACAAAGTTGAGAAAACAATGCAGCATATTATTGGTCCGCATGTAACTAAGATATCAAGACTGTCATCTCATAAGTAGCGTACAAGCATGGTCGATTGCCACGCTTTTGTTTATGAGGCTGCGGCAAGTCGGCCATATTTGTTACCTAACACGGGAAAGAAACTTGGGTTTATTCGACGAGTGGAACAAAACTGCAACTTCCAGTCTATTTAGGCCTTGTTATCCTCACCTTTTGGCCAGGGCCACATCCGAACTGGAGCCTAACTCGGACAACTTAATGTAAAATTTTAGTTTTAATGTTAGAAACTATTCTAATTAATTAAGTCAAGGCAAAAAGCTTTCCACACATTGTATTTATTTGAAATCAGGCTAGACCAAATAATCACATCGTACGATACTCACTTTATGTGTTGATGATCACGCATGGTATTTTAAGCTCAAAAGAAAAAAAAGACTCTTTTGGATTGGATATCTGTAGCCCACAGGTGAAGATATCTTGTAATGTTGCTTCAGGCAGTACTATAGAATCATCAACTCCATTGGAGTGTTACAGCAAGCAAGAAAGCTCTTTGAGAGTCCTTTCAAAACCTCACAATAATTGTGGCAAGCCAAAATCAAGTCGATTCATCATTCACTTTTATTCTTTCCCCCATAATAGGGCTTAACATCACACTATGGTTTTAAGACAGCAAAACTTCAGTGTTGAAGACTGATATCCATGGCGATGACTAAACACACTGAAGCGGTTATTTCCACGGAAGTTCCTTCTGCAGGATTCTGCTGAGAAGGACCTTACGATTAGAAAGCTCTTCCCTTTGGTTGATGTTTCAGAGATTGCACTCCTTTTGGAGAAAATATTTTGCGCAGGATAGAAGCACACTATGGAATGTTTTCCCCTAAATTGCCCAGATGTGACTAGCACGATCGAGTTAAGAACATAGGAGCAAATGTGGTGACATGCTGAATAGTCATCACAACGTTCATTCTTCAATGACCGCATTGGGGGAAGAAAGCAATAGCTGACTCCATTTTTCTTCGTATCTTACCAAAACTTTGTGATAGTAGTACTTTTGACAATGTCCCCCCCCCCGATTTATCAGTCCAGCGAAACCACGCTATTGAGAATTGGGGTAATTTCGATTGACACATGTACAACCTATGCAGGAATAGCCACTTCCGCTGAAATGCTACAAAAGTCCTGCTCGTTAACTGCTTTATAATATAGTACCTTGAAATACGACCACTGATTAGCAATGCCAAGTATTTCTTTCCTGATGTTCAGGTTATTTGCAAAGTTTCGGTCCTCCCGGAGAAATTTCCTCAAGTGAATGACATCTTATGCACTGTGTGTGTACTGTAGACCAAAACCATCAGAAGAGGAAGAAAGTGGAATAGAGGAAAAATAAGGAGACAGGTGTCCACTGGAGCGAAAAGAATAACTTCAGGGTTTTTAAATGGTTGGTGTCCAAAAAAGGCATGTGTTGATTTGAAGAAGTGTGGTAGCAGTTGGTGTGAAAGACAAAGTTGTTCTTATCAACTGTCCATTAATAAAGAAAAAACAAATAAAACCAGGAATAACATTTCATTTTAATACGTCTTACCAGTATCTCATTGCCGTCTGACCATTTCAACTTATTCGATGTGAGGTTGATTTGTTAAGGGGCTATCTTGGGGAATTTAAATATCAGGCTTGCGGCGCATTGTAGATAGGCTGAATTCCACTCATTAATAATTCAGATGTGACTGAACAGTAATTGCTGAATCACGCCCTACTTCCTATAGGTGACCACACTCTCCCCAGTTGTTTCTCGAATCAAATTTCGCGTACCCTCACCCGACGTTCTATCTGTTTGGATGTTTAATCAATATGACCAAAAACAGGACTATTCTAAGCGTAGCCAACCGGTCATAGATCCAGAAATCGCTCGGCGGAATGCAATTTATGACTTTAGGCCGTTTCCATTTTCTGTACTTGTCAGAAAACAGAAGCTACCACACTACTGCCCCTATGTTAGAAACGCCCTATCTGCGCTTTTTCAAGTTGCGCAAGCCACCGACTTATCTTTTTGTTCGGTTCCGTAAGGGGTAGGTTACGTACCTTTTCGCTACATTGAGTTTGCACCCTATGACTTCTTGACACGTCCTTCGTTTCGGTACACGCGTCATATCTAACAAGGGGTAGAAACACGATTGGTCGTACTCTTCTGATAGCCCTCACCTGCAGCACTGAGACACATAACCTTGATCTTTCTGGTGAAGAACGAGCTACTCTTTAAAACGCAACCAGTAAAATAACCATATTATGGTTCCACATACATATCGATCATCAACTTTTATTCCTTGAATCCTTCAGGAAGGGCAGAAAGCAATAGGTTTTGCTTTTCTTGACAAGCAAGCTGGGGTCAGCATAGCAGATGAAGCTGGCTCTGGTGACCTTCAGACTCATTCTTTGGTGTTCAGGCTCTGGACGCAAAATGTCTTCTACTGGACTATCGAAATACTAGTAGAAGGATTAATGTTCGATGATGTTTCTTGGTTGACTTTTTACAGGGTATAATTTCACACTTCAGACAGGCTAAGTTTCACTGTTTTCCACACATAAAAATGATACTGAGGTGTTGTGGAATGTTAGTTTGCTCAAACTTCACCGATCAAAATGTGGACTTCCTATCAAGTCACTCGTCAGCTGCACTCCAACAGTCACTGGTTACTTGATGTCCATTCAACCCTTACTGATCGCATAACATGCCCGTTGTAATCAACGAGGGACGCCTCCTGCTGTACCTTTCCATGTCACTGAGTTCATGTTATGGGTTAGCTTCATTGACCCGGACAATCAAAAATAATCGCAAATTGAGGTGCTCCGTAGATCTCTGCTGGTAATGTGGTCGGAATTAGCTTTCAGAGTGCATCTACAAAGACGCATGTAAGGGATCACACACAGCGTGGTGAATCACGGACCGTCGAAGTGTAGTCGGTTTACGTAGCGTCGGATTTGTGTCACTGAGAGACTCAACTCACTTATCTTCTTCCTTATCCCATCGCCACGTAGCCCAAAAATATGCCGCTCACCAGAAGCGCATCCAAACTATTTTCGCTAAAACTACAGGGTTTTCGAAGTTGTGACTTTAACAGGAGGTTAGTCCAATCCATTTGCACCTTTCGGTGATATTTGGCTCATAGCTTTTTGTTGAAGTGATTGAAATTTCAAGGTTATAGACCATCAGCGATTCGCATTTTGTTACAGATTTACTGGGTATAAAGTACGAAATCGCACTGAACCATATTTTGGCATTCATTAAGAGTGAAAATAACATCTACAGAATGTACAATGCGATTTCCATCCAGGAACATCTACCATTGACGTTTCTTTGATTTATTCTTCCCAGGTCTCGCTCGGCAAACTTCGTCACAATACTTCATCCCATGATGCTTAGCTTCAGTTAGGTAAAAAAATTCAGAAAACAGTATGAATTGTGCAGTGGAGATGCAAGGGTCATCTCTGTGAATGATTCCCTTTTACGGATATTTATAACTGGCCTGTGAACGATACAACATCAGGTCATCTTAGGTAAATTACCAACGCACTAGTATAATTTTTATCAGGAATATGACTCACTATAGGTGGAATAAGTCATAAGGTGATCATCAAGATAACGGTAACCGTTGTCACTCGCCTCGACTACTTATCGCAACCACTACACCCACGTCTGTGTGCGACGCTGATTATTAGGCCTCACTTATACTAGGCAAACTTATTCAATGGCCAACGACGACTTTTCATGCTCACAGCTTTACGCGTTGTCCTCTCGAATGCTTATTGTAATTTCTAGGCCCGTGTCTATGTGCAGCGCTCTATTTATGAGGCCTCACCTATGCAAAGTGACGCAATCCAATGATCAACGACTGTCTCTCATACTATCAACCGTACGGGATGTCGCATATCTTTGCCCATAGTAGACACCAGGCCATTATCTATGCGGGCCGGTTTCAAGTATGCGCGATAGTCTGATCTGACGGCCTGTCACACTTACAACTGTGCTCGATGTCGCCCAACTTGGCTAACCACGTTCGTCTGCCAACTCAATGCCTTAAGAAATACACGACTACTTTTAATAAATCTTGTTTCTATTTATTGGTTGCAGCAGTACGATCGTAATGTGTGGCAACTC